TCCTTTTTTATGAAAATCGATACACATATAATTAGGATGCCCATAGGTAGTTATTTAATAAAAAGAATTGAGTTTAAGTTTCTGTTGCACTGAGAAACCAGCATAACTTAAAAAGTAAAAAATAAATTTAAGAAAAAAAACTTTTTAAAAACAAGCTTTTATTTAAATACATTAAAAAGAAAAAATAAGCTTTTTCTTTAAAACTTTTATTATGTCATTACACAATTTTATATTATATAAAAGCTTATAAAAGTGTACAGTTGCACTCATAAAAATCTGGTACAACTTTATCTTGTAATTCTTCTAATTCCAATATCTTGTAAACCTGTCATTATTCCCATCCAGGATAAATTCATCCAGTTTAGAAGAACATTTAAAAACTTTGTGTCCAAATATTACATAATGAGGTACTGAAAAATTAAGAAAATGATCTGGCAAACATCTTATTAAAAACAGCAGACATTAATAATTAATAAAAAAAACTAGACCTCTTTTCTTTTCTCTCTGAATTGTCATGAGCTATCCATAAAAATTAAAAATAGATACGGATAATCAGAATCACAAACAACTTGTTTGTCATTTTGCAGGATACCTAATAATAAAAATTACTTTGAATGCCGTACACAATAACTGAGTATTAAAACTAAAAGAATTTCGGACTTCCATTGTACTACTAAACTACAAAAACCAAATATATCACAGAATAAACAAAAATAAAACTAAAAAAAAAACAAAATATATCACTCAAGAAAAGAATAAAATAAATTAAGCCGCACGCTCCTGACTCAAAGCTGCCGTAACTGTACGTTGTTGATGACAAAGACTACGACTGACTACGACACTGGTTAATTTCTGTCGCTGGCACCCATAATGGCGGCGTGCACAAGGGTATGCGCGTAGCGTTCCCGCCAAAGCGAGTTGGCCTGCCGTGTGATTTATATGCCGTGGTAATAGTACGAGAGCTAGCAACGTCGGGAAAACAAGTATTTTAAGAAAGCTGGCTCTTTAATATATCCGTTACTATACTCTCTGGAACAGTATGCGGCCCGTCTGGCTGCCGGTAAACGTTGCGTTTCCTACTGCGCATTGAAAGAAGATCCTATACTTTTATTATTCATTTAAATTCTAGTATTGAATATAAACCGACCGAGTCTTCGTAGCTCAGCGCGTAGAGGTTCCGACTATCAAGCGAGGAGTCGGAGTTCAAAACCGGGTCAGAACAAAAACTTTTTTATTTTATTTTCGTTTATATTCTGATAGTAAAGTATTAAATTATTCTGGTGATTCAAAAAAAAACAAATATTTATTACTTTTTCGGTTCGTAATCGGAAACTCTACGCACTGCGCTATGGAGAATTGTTCGATTTCTATTCAATACTAGAATTTAACGGACTAAATAAAAAAAATATAGGATCTTTTCCGATGCGCAGTAGTGAACGCAACGGGTATCGGCAGCCAGATGGACCGCAGACTGTTCAAGAGAGCATAGTAAAAGATATATCAAAGAGCCAGCTGTCTTAAAATACTTTCGAAAACGTTGCTAGCTCTTAGACTATAATATAGTCTTCAATAACTTTGAATTTGACAGTTTCCGCGGGCTTTTCTAGTGTTAATTTTATTAGGTTAGCAACTTGCGGCCATGCATTTTTCTTCGTTGTCTGATATTTCGAAATGTCAAAAGCTGATGACATTTTACTTTTGACAATTATGACATTTCGTGTTGATTTTTGCAAGAAGAGGAAGAACTGTCACTTGTTTTATTATTTTCCTTTTCTATTTCACGATCTGATTCGTTCAGGCACTCAATTTAAAGAATATTAGTAACTTTTTTGACAGAGGGATTTTATATTTGCCATGTTAGTAAAAAGTAACGGTCAAAATTCAAAGTTATTCATTTTATAGAGTATACCTTGTAAGCTTTGAATAAGAAGACTAAGGAAGGAGCATAATGCTATCCATGTATTCATGCATGGTGGGCGGAAAAAGCACTCTAGGGTGGGGATCCTTGACAGTTCTGTTTTGTTTTTGTTTGAAATTTTATGGATTTGTCAGTCTTTACGGAGCTTATTTTATGTTATTTATTATTTATTCTACTACTGATAGTTGTATAAAGGTAGTAAATCTAGATGGAAATTGTGGCAGAACTTAAATTGACAGTGACACTATCGCGATTTATCGAAAAAGACTCTAAAATAGTTGGTTGTGTAGCGTGCGATAGATCTCGGCAAAAATCGAGTGAAATAATGGAACAACTTTTCGCTAGTAAGTGACTATATAATATACATACGTGTAGTAAACCGATCATTTATGAAATTCACTTAAATTAACTAATTATATATTTTTTCTTGCATTTTTGCTTTTATTTACTACTTGTCAAAGATTAGATGTCAAAGAATTTAGATACGTCAATTTGATTTTCCAGATTTACCTGCTTCAGTAGCGTATCGGATGTTTGTGTTAATAAATAATTATTATAACTTATCTATTTTTATTAGAATTATATATTTTTGTAACAATTTTAATAACTACCAACATTTATTCACAACGTCAAATAAAACAACATATTATTGAGTCTACCCCACGTCTACCCTACATCATAGTTTTACATTTTTTAAATAAAATTAGAACGGCACTGATTTAAGTCGGCCATATTTGAGGCCCATCGCGGTGGACCTAAGATGTTTGATATGCTCCTTCCTTAGTCTTCTTATTCAAAGCTTGTAAGTAATTATATATCGAGAAACTAGGGTTACACTCGTTGAATTTAACACTTTATGTCACTTTAATAATATATTTTCACACTTTTGTGCTTAGGCGTAGAAGTACTTTACTTTCATGGATAGGCGTTAAAATGACTTTTTTATAGTGTCAATCACGTCCCAAGAATTAATATTTTTAAGACGCTTGAAAAAATATATTTACCCGCTAAGCTTTAACAACTTCCTTTTGCACAAAATTTTATATATTTTGTTTACTAGTTATATAGGGTTGTTCACCACATACGACACGGAGTATTGTAGCTAAACGATGAGATTTTTACAAATTGTAAGTCTTGGGTTCGATGAAGGACTATTAGAGGTACAATTTAAAATAATTTTACAAGATACAGAGTGTCCCAAATAAGTAAAAAATATCAAAGTTGTATTTTTTTAAATGGAACACCCTGTATATTATTGCATTTTTAGTTTCTACGATTAAAATAAAGGTAAATTTGATTAAGGTTTATTATACTTAAACCTTGTTTTTGAAATATTTTCAATTTGTGAAATTGCAGTAAAAATTTTAAGGCTTCATTCCTCCAAAGGGTACCAAAGTTTTTAATACTAAATATTTACTGAAGTTTATTTATGCCGATCAGTTATTGTGTTGCAATAATAAAAATAATACTACTTATACAGAGTGTCTAAAAATTTATTTTATATAATTATTAGCTTCAAACGGCAATAACTTGTTTAATTTAAATGGAACACCCTGTATATTTTACGAGAATCAGATGCACAATTTAATTGTCTATCAAATTATATTATACCATTTTTTACCCATCTCTTTAAGTTTCCGTAGAAAATGCATTTTCTTGTAATTTAGAATTTATTTATCAATATACCCATGGAATATTGACATTTTAGATTATTTTTAAAGATGTACCAAATTTTTAAAGAGTACAGATACTAATATTGTGGATATAATTCGTTTATTTCATTAAAAAATATAAAAAAACTGTTTAAATATTTGTTAAAGAGGATTAATATGATTCCAGTATTCAAACTACATTAACTGACTGCATTGATTAATAATAATTGTTCCAAATACTAAAAAAACTGAATTTAGTATAGGTATTAGACAGTGTGATAAAAAGTAACACCTTAAAAATGATATTTCATTTTTTAATAAATGCTTATTTATAACAATAGAGACTTTAATTTTAATAACTTATTATTATATTGATTTCTGACTCAAATCCACATTTATTTAGAATAATTTATTAACGAATACAATTAAGTATGTAATTAATTAGTATATGGGCGGAAATAATGGTGCTATATTTAATTAATGGTATACTCTTTTATAAAGATTTAAATAGTTTTCTTTTTGCATACAACATTATAGTTTTTAGCAAAACGATAATATTACTAGAATGTCAATATATGATGTCAATTTTCCCATGGGTGTCAATAATAAAATGTCAATATTCCATAGGTATATTGATGAATGAGCTCTAAATTATAAGAAAATGCATTTTCTACGAAAACTTGAAGGGATAGGTAAAAATGGTATAATACAATTTGATAGACAATTAAATTGTGCATCTGATTCTCCTAAAATATACAGGGCGTTCCATTTAAATTAAACAAGTTATTGCCGTTTGAAGCTAATAATTATTTAAAATAAATTTTTAGACACTCTGTATAAGGTAGTATTGTTTTTATTATTGCAACACAATAACTGATCAATAGATAAACTTCAGTAAATATTTAGTATTAAAAACTTTGATACCCTTGGAGAAATGAAGCCTTAAAATTTTTACTGCAATTTCACAAAATTGAAAATATTTCAAAAACGGTAAGGTTTAAGTGTAATAAACGTTAATCAAATTTACCTTTATTTTAATCGTAGAAACTAAAAATGTAATAATATACAGGGTGTTCCGTTTAAAAAAATACAACTTTGATATGTTTTTACTTATTTGGGACACTCTGTATCTTGTAAATTATTTTTAAATTGTACCTCTAATAGTCCTTCATCGAACCTAAAACTTGAAATTTCTAAAAATCTAATCGTTTAGCTACAATACTCCGTGTCGTATGTGGTGAACAACCCTGTATATAGAAATTAAATTAAGATTTAAAGTTGATTTTAATAAACTAGCCGGACATTTCTTATTTCTACCTTACCGAGGAATGCTGTCGGAACTTTAAAACACCGGTAGAAATTCACCAAGCCCTATACATTTGTCACTAACAATCCCCTTACTAACAAATCTCCCCTCCTTACTAATCCAGGTTCGAGCAGCGGCAGTTCGTCTACAGATCGGCAGGACTCGACGGAATCGAGGTCCAGCGCGACATCTGCCGGCCAACCGACGCTCAAGCGACCTTCGATCATTATCGATTCCAGCCGACTGCCCACGATCGCAACCGACGTGAAGAAGGCCGACTCCAAGTCCAGTCTGCACATGCAATCAGAAACGATGTGTTAGAAATAGTTTATTTTCTTATTAATGTCGATGTGTGGTAGGTATGGTCGAAAGTAAGATTTGTACATAATAGGTGGCTGTCTTAGATGATAGTTTAGGGTGAGTAGAGTATATTGAATATATATTCACGATATGCTATGAACAGAATCAGCGTTAACATCCGAACATCATTAAAATTCATAGTCCAGGAAGCAGTGAAGGTTTTCGATACTTATTTTCCCAGTCAGCAAACACTGATAGAATTATTCGGTATGTGATTCTCCGATGGCTTGAGGTAGAAAATGCGTTAGAAAGTACAAATATACTGCACTTTTTTTCCAGATAAAAATAGTCTGGCTAATCTGAGAAATATGTCTGGCAGGTAAAAAATTGGATAACCATTATTGAAACCATTGTCCTTATTTTCGCAGTTCTAAAAATTTGTCAGATGATAGCTTATATTGTACAGGGTGGTCGAAATTGTTCTGTTTTAACAGAGAAAACCTATTTCCTGACTGCAAAACCGACATAGATGTCATGGGCTTGATTTCCGAGATACGTTTAATGACGTAAACCGCCTGTTGATATTTTCACTGCCAACTGAGATACGGGGTCTTTTTGAATTTATTACCATTTGAAAAATTGCCCATAACTTTTGTATTTCGCGGACTAATAAAATTCTGTAAAAACGTTCTTAAGGCACTTTTTTAAGCACAATCCAGTGGCGTACTCAGTTTTTTTCTATACTTGCTCCATGACATCTATGTCCGTTTTGCTCTATCTAGTCAGGAAATAGGTTTTCTCTGTTAAAACAGACCAATTTCGACCACCTTGTACATACAGCTGCAAATATAGTCTGGCTAATGGGAAATATTCCTAAAGCCTTACCAGACGATAGACTTATATTTTCGGCTTTTAAAGACAATTTATTCTCTATATTTTACTCACCTGAAATTATCTAGCTTATTTTTTTCTTAATTATAATATATTATACAGGGTGTTATTTAAGTTCGTGGTCCAAGAACATAAAAAGAAAAACAGTTTAACACTATCTACGTTATTATAAACTTTTTGTTTCAAAATAGCTAATGAATCGCCCCCTGATCTTTGGTGACATACTTAAAGAACCCCCTGTATAAAAAATTATAACGGTCTTGTAAAGTATATTACTATTTTTGGTCAGTAAACTTTACCAAAGGATATCATAAAAATGTCTATCCAAAAATATCCTTATGGGTTTTTCGCTAATGCACTGCAAGAAAAATCTACAAAATAAAATAGTTATTTTTTGTAAACACTTCTGCGTTAAACCAAAACGGACGCTGCTTGTCAGAAGTTGTGTTTACAGTAATAAAAATTTGCCTAACAAAGAAAAGAATGCTTAACGTTTCGGAAAGTTTTCTCTTTCCGTCGTCGGAAGCAAAAAAATATAAAGAATCAAGAAAAAAACTATTTAAAATATTTAAATTGAACTATTCGAGAACACTTTACTTTTTAAAACAGATACGTCTACAAGAAATTGTTGACGTTCTGTTAAAATGACATTATATTAAGTTAAACTTCAAAATTAACAATTACTACCTGATAATTACTTAATAAGGTAAAACCAAAAAGCCCAAACTTTCTGTATGATTATTTTTAAATTTTACGTATGTTATGTTTATTTATGTAATGTTCTTTAAAATCAAAGAAGCGATTGCCATACAATTTTACATTGGTGAAACATCTAGACCCTTAAATGTTAGAATTAAAGAACATAAAGATTATTTAAGAGAGGGAGATTTTCACAAATCTAAGATTTGTCAGCATTCATGGAACACAGGGCACAGAATAAATTTTAATAGCGCCAAAATTATAATGAAAGAAGCGATAGCCTCTAAAAAAAATAAAAGAGGCTTTTTTAATTCAATCTAATAAAAATAAATGTATTGCTCATGCATCTGTAGATGTTAGTAATGTATGGCAATCGCTTCTTTGATTGTAAAGAACATAACATAAATAAACATAACATACGTAAAATTTAAAAATAATCATACAGAAAGTTTGGGCTTTTTGGTTTTACCTTATTAAGTAATTATCAGGTAGTAATTGTTAATTTTGAAGTTTAACGTAATATAATGTCATTTTAACAGAACGTCAACGATTTCTTGTAGACGTATCTGTTTTAAAAAGTAAAGTGTTCTCGAATAGTTCAATTTAAATATTTTAAATAGTTTTTTTCTTGATTCTTTATATTTTTTTGCTTCCGACGATGGAAAGAGAAAACGTTAAGCATTTTTTTCTTTGTTAGGCAAATTTTTATTACTGTAAACACAACTTCTGACAAGCAGCGTCCGTTTTGGTTTAACGCCAGAAGTGTTTACAAAAAATAACTATTTTATTTTGTAGATTTGTGGCGAAAAACCCATAAGGATATTTTTGGATAGATGAATCCGCCACATCGGTATAGACATTTTTTAAAAAATTTCTAGTCCTATGCATAACTAAAAAACTTCCTTTATGTTTCTTAATAAAAAAAATATTAATTGTGGTCTTCCTAAATTAAATTAAAAGTAATTTATTTTATAATTAATTAATTGTATAGAGAAATTAATCAAAGTTGGCGTGCATGTCATCAAAGACGTCGAAACTGTTTCCAAATTAAATTTATAAAGATTAAAAATTCCTTTAAAACTTAGAGGGCATTTTTTATTTTTCTTATAATATTTTATAACCTAGTTAAAAAAAGACAGAACCCTGTCGTTTTTAACTACCTAAAAGAAAATTAATAATCATTAAATTAGATTTTTTTGTGTATTAATCATCGACAAAGCAAAATAAAGGATATTTATATATACAGGGTGGTCCGAAGAATTGTATTCCGGAAACTTCGACAGTATATTCTGCAGATAAAAATAAGTAAAAAAGTTCGTATAAATGTATGTCCTAAAATGCTTCGTTTCGGAGATACAGGGTGTAGAAGTTTCATTTTTATTTCGTTTTTTTTCTTCAAATAATTTCTGAACTAACATCGATATTTAGATGAAAATTGATGTCTGGGTGTTATTGGGCATGAGAAATTTGATTTTGATGTCAAAATGACTTCAACTTGTAGGGGGCGCCACCTACAGGATTTTATATTGATTTGAAAAGTAATAACTTTTCGTCCGTACCTGTATAAAACTACTGAGTAAAAAATATGTATAGTCTCTCCAACGACAAGATCCTTGACAGTGACAGATGTGTCTGTCATTTTATTTTCAAATTAGTTTATTTTATTTTACAAAGAAATAAGTTGGTACAATTGGAACGCATAGCAGAAAATTAATATATTTAAAATTTGAGTGACAAGTAGTGATTACTTCAAAATATTGTGAAAAAACTGTTTAAAATTGAGAAAATCTAATCGAGTTATTTTATTAAAAACAATTACAGTTTGTGTTAATACAAAACAAGCAAGGGTTTATTTAAAAAACACCACATACCAAAAAAGATATAAAAAAGATTCCCGGCTTTCAAGCTCAAGCAACTTTCTGCATTTATTGTTACATTTATCAATATAATTATTTATTATGATTATTATTTACCTATCTTGTGCTGCTATTTTACAGACACTCCAGTTTTTGGTATCATATACAAGATTTATCAAACGACAAACTTTATTTGTGGCTAATACATCTCTCTGGCCATAATCTCTGGCAAACTGTCTCTGGCGGTCTCTGGGCACCGAATATTAACTGTAAACTATGGTCTGGATTAACACTTAATTTTCCCGCGAGTTTGCTTTCACTTAATTTTAAAAAACACGAAACACACGTAATAACAATAACACAGTCCAAAATGCAAAATATTTATCATTTCTATTTGACATAATTTGACACAAAATTATAACCTATAAATTGGCAAGAGTTTGACAACTCTCAAAAATCTTAAGACGAGTTCACACGCATCGGCGTTTGTTTGTCGTTCATCTTTCCGTCAAACCAATAATATTGAAATATGATCTGTCATTTTTGAAATAAACCAATAAAACTGGTTAAAAACAACAAGAGATGACGCATGACGGATTTAGTATCATCCCATCCATAGTTAACTTAGAAAATATTAGAAACTTTTTTTAGTTAAATAAATGGATTGGTTTGGTCTGTCGAAATCTTAGATGAGAAAAAAAAACAGAGTATAGATAGTTATTTGACTGAAATGATAAATATGGGAATTTTTTTATTTTTTTAAGGTAATCATGAATTTTTCTGTAAAAAGTACGATAAAACAGTTTCTGTTGAATCTTTCACATAAAAACATTTTAAATTTATTCAGACTAATAACTATCCAGTCAACATGTATAATTTTTGTAATTATGACATGTATTGACTATTTAAATTCCAAATATCTTGAGAACCATTACTCGCAGCGATTTTTACCAAGAAATCTTTTTACGTAAAAAATGACGGAAATGTGTATTTTTCTACTCAATAGTTTTATACAGGTACAGACGAAAAGTTATTACTCTTTAAAACAGCTATAAAATATGTAGATGGCGCCCTCTACAAGTAGGAGTCATACTGACATCAAAATCGAATTTCTCATGTCAAAAAACACCCAGGCACCAATTTTCATCTAAATATCGGCGATATTATTTGGAGAAAATTGAAATAAAAATGATACTTCTACACCCTGTATCTCCGAAACGAAACATTTTAGAACATAAATTTATACGAACTTTTTTACTTATTTTTATCTGTAGAATATACTGCCGAAGTTTCCGGAATACAATTCGGACCACCCTGTATATTGAGACAAAATTACGAATTTGATTTGACACTTTTGTCAAAAGTCAAAGTAAAAAATATAACCGTGGCAACATTGCGACGTGCATTCGTCATATATTTTGATGACGTACAAGCCAACTTCTATTGATTATCTATAGCTACTACGTCGATAGTATTAAGTTGAATGAGAAATGCTTGACAGTGAAAAACAATTCGTTGTACAAGGCCTAATCAAAAAGTTTATAAACTAAAATCAATCTATATAGTTAGAACACTATTTTTACGCTTTCATTGTATTCTTTCATTTAGATGACAATAATATTTGAAATTAAATGAAAAATGTGTGCACGATTAGAAGAGCGATTATTAATATGCGTGTTTTTTGTACAAGTCATTTCAAAATAAAATCAGAATGATTCATATTAAACAAGGAATCTAATATTAAATTGTAATATTTACTTTTATTTTTATAAAATAATTTATTTTGTAGTTTTAGAGATATTTTACCAAATTTTTACGGTATGTGATATTTTTATGATATATAAAGCACAATAATTGTAAAAATGGTCAAAAAGTACATTTTTTATAGAATTAAGTATAGTTGATTTAATAATAAGTATTTACTAAAAAAGAAATATACAGGGTGTCCCACTTAAGATGGATACAAGCCAATATCTTGATAGTTTGTTGAGCGATCTTTTTCATTTTTGGCAGGAGGCTGTATGGCTATAAGAC